CTGACTTGACATACCAATAATATTATTGATGACATTATGTGACTACACAAAATGATACTCTACAGTAATCAGCATTCTACAATAACTTGATGGACAAAGTATCAGAGTGTGGTCCACAAATGCACCTCTAATACCTAGAACAGCCCTGGGATGGAGCTGATGCTCAGGAACGCCCATCGACTCACCGAAATGACAGCCTTGCTGAGACAGATGGATCCCCTGCATCCATACTCTGTCTCATCTTCAGATTTGTAGTAACTCAGAGTGTTGTTTTTCAAGACCACCCAACGATCCTGCCACCCATGGATGTAGTTTGTCCACTGAGAGGGGAAGAAAGAGGGAGGTAAGAGGAAGACAATGTCAGTATTCTATAAAATCAAACTTCTTGAAATAGCAATCTAGCTTCAAAAGTAAAATGTGAAAATCATAATCATAATCACAAATAGAAGATTATAAAAAGTGAAAAGTTGAGATTTTTCAAGATTATATAATGTACAATATTATAAATAGATTAAAAAAAAACCCACAACATTTTCGTCTAATATTTGAGAAATAAAAGTGAAGCAGGATTTTGCTTTTTAAAAAAAATTCTGCATGGTTGTTTGCCAGCCTTCATCCTCCCCTCCTCATCTCATTCATGAAACTTAAATCTATTTCGGTCCCTCTCATAATTAACATACTCAAGATAAAAGTTCAGTTACACAGTCATTCATTGTCTACACCAAATACTACATGAAATCTTCTAAATCAACACAAGCATGAAGCCAAATCATTGCCAAAACTCTACTTATGTTCTAAGTTATTCCATATGAAAATGTATGATGGTCTTAACTACAGCAAAGTAAAACTACTAGATGATTAATATGTAATAAGTCCACATCAACTTTAGTTTTTCCTCTAGTGTACTCAACATACATTTTAAATGGCTATTTTCTGTGTTTATCTAAAGTTGCATCTTTCAAGCCTAAGCGTAATAATGAAAATATAGAATTGGTTCTTAAAAACAAACTTGGATTATCGTTCTCTAATACTATTTATAAAAATGGCTTCTGTGTCTTGCTGCACAGAGAGGACCACCATAAACTGGCAAAGGCAGCTATGTAACCTCTATGGACTATTTAATTCTGTGTGATTTTAATTACATCTGGGGTTTTATGTATAGACAATTTCAAAAATGAATGGAATGGATTGCTGAAATATACTGCACTGGCTCAGGCTCTTCATCTATGAGGAAACCTTTACTTTTCTACAACCCACTCCAGCATATTTGACATCAGTTCAGCTCTGACTTCTAAGCCTCACCATCAAACCCATTCTAAGAGCTCACTCATGCCAATGACTCAAGTCCTTCTTTTCTAGGGTCCCCTAATGACCACGTTCTTATTTCTACCTCACTGTGACTCCGCCACCTAGACGCTGACTTCAAACAAACAGTTCCCTTCCGTCAGTGTGTTTGCTCCCTAGGTTCCCGTTCCTTGGCTAGATCCTCACTTCTGCAGTCACGCAAACACAAGTCTGGCTCACAGCATCTTCCACGAACAGAGCAGTGGATACAGCATTGCACAGACTCAGCCACTTACATCTTCTGTGAGCAGAGGTTTGGCAAATTAACTTTCGTGAGCTTCCGTTTTTGAGTCTGTTGTCTGAACAACTGAATAAAATAATGAAAGTGCCCAGCACAGTCATGGAAGATAATGTTCCACTACTGCTTTTCTATCTCTATATCCCAACACCAAATTCTGATCTTCTTTCCTTCATATTCAACTCTCATATTTGCCTTCTCCTTTGAACTTTCAACTATTCCAATCAATGAACATGTTCCTAGACTGCCTGACCTCTAAGTACCTTTTCCGTATTCATAAGTTACATCATTTTATTTACTGACCAATCATATTTGCTTACTTCTCTTACATCTTAACCTTGATTCTCCAGCTCCAAAACATAAGTACCAAGTTCCCATTTCCTTCACACCAACCGTTCAGACTGGTGTTCAAGACCTTCCATGGATGAATTTCACTTTCCCATCAGCACCCTTCCAAAAGGCAAGTCACCGTGTGACATGGTCATGTTCCTTCCCCTGATGCGTGCTTATCTGAACAGGCTTAGAACAGTGCCCAGCACACAGTACAGTCTCAGTGCCTGGCAGCATTATGCCCAAGTCACCCTCACCTTCAGCTCTCACTACAACAGACTCTCTTCAAAGTGACAGGAGAGACTTCTGCAACTGTGTAGCCATCATTTCATATAATTTTCTTCTAGAGGACTCCACAAATCACATCAGCCTCAGGACTGCATCCAGCAAACATTGCTGTTACTACCACATCTGGAAGACAGGTTTTCGCCTTTTCTCTACCCTCATGCTTCCCCATTTAACCAACACAAAGCAGTGTGTTGCAAACTGCAGGAGAATCAGAGATTCCTATCACCAATAGCCCAGCAAGCACAAATTCAAGAGGAAAAACAAACAGTATTTTGACAAAGAATCAGAACCAAGTTACATATAAAATACTGTGAAAATTCAAAGAAAGGAAATCTGAAAGACTGACAAAGTGAGCAAAGGCTCCACGTAGTATCTGAGATGACAGAATCACTGTGGAGAAACTGAGGCCCAGGAGACCACCAGGCGCGGAACGTGCAGAAGCAGCTGAGATCTCGTTTATCTGAGCTTCAGCGGCCCAGGGCCTACTGAAGTGTGACTCTTTTCCCAATCATCATTCATCCTGTTACCTGTGATTACCATTCGGAATTATCACCTATCCAAGATTTCTGGAACTCTTAAATGAATCTGTAAGAAATACGCTGTATAGATATTTTCATGTATTCACGTCATCATATAGAAAAAAAAAACTCTTTGCACTAGTATATTTCTGATATCAATTTGCACACCCCATTCCAAATCCACTCCATTTGGGGGGATGAGGAATATAATGTATTGGGACTTTACATTATTCAACACAAGGAAAAGGGCAGATGCTGAGTTAACTCTTGTTTAAAATATCAGATAAATACAAAGGAATTAAACACATAATACATACGTAAAAACATGCACCTGATCAGTATACATAATCACTATAAAATGTCCTTGATTAAAAGCTTCCAGAAACACTACACGGAGCCATACTTAAATCTCAGCAAACTTCCCTTCACACAGCTCTTAACAAAAACACTAAAAGCTACATTCTGCGAGTCCACATACGCAGCAACAACCAGACCGGCAGTTACCTGCCGTCCACAGGAGCGGTCTGCGCATTTCCACGCCGAGGTCACGGCCCCCCATTTTCATATGTCCACTGTATTACTCCGCAGGAGTGCTGGTGACTTTTTCCACCAGCCACGGCACTCCACCTCTCTCCAAACAGGTCAAAAGGACAGTTTGTTTCACAGAATACTTAACCCTGCCACAGTACTGATATGGTAGTCTGCTGCTTATCTAAAGAGAAGTGATGCAACTACTGGAGACACTGAGAAGCGAAGAACTCACTTCGCAGACAGTCCCATCAGAAGTCTGCACCTTGCACACTGGGATTCACTCCAGACTCCCACACGACAAGACCATCTGACCACAGAGACCCCAGGGAGCGTCCCCGTACTGAACTCCGTCACCTGTCCACTGTGCTGTCACCACTCGCACACCAGCCTGCACACTGCTGCCAGCCTAGGCCCTTCCCCTCCAGCCTGCTAAAGGCGGTCACAAGGCCTAACGGGAAACACTTCCACCGACGACGTCCCAACGTCTCGCAGAGCCACGCGGGGCGATTCTGCACGTGACCCAGCATCAATCCACGACCAGCTGGTGAGGGGCCGGCTGTCCTCCGCTCAAGTCCACTGCCAGCCCAGCCGCTGCCACAGGTTCAACAGTCGCAGCGAGGGAAGTCGCAGCAGGCCGCGGGGCTGCGCGCACGGCGAACACGCGGAACGCGGAACCGCACACGCCGCGCGCGTCCCGAACGCCTTCCCCACCCACAACCCACGGCGAGCGGCTCCGACGGGGTCCCAGCCGCCGCGAACGTCCCGGCACCGTCACGTGCCCGTCCACGGGCTCTGCGCCGGGCGAGCACCCAAGTCCTCAGTCCTGGCTCACCGCGCGCCGGCCCGGAGGCGGGGTCCGACCCAGCCCAGGCCCGGCCCTGAGGCCGCGCGGGCAGCGCCGCCGGCCCACGGCGCGGAGGCGCCTCGCCCCCGGGCCGCAGGTGAGCCCGGGCGGGGCGCGGCCGCGCGCGCGCGCTCACCTTGCTCAGGACCCCGCAGCGCTCCACCGGCGGCCCGGACTCGGTCTCCGGGTCCTCCTCCGAGCCCGACGAGTTCCAGCTCTGGTTGTCCGACATGGAGGCGCGACGGCCGAGCGGGAGAGCGGCCCCGGCGGCCCGGCCTGCGCCGCAGCAGGCGCCCGGCGCCCGCGGACAGGGCTCTGGGGACGGCGAGGCGGCGGGCACACGCCCCGGCGCGGGGGGCGGCAGCAGCGGGGAAGCCCGCCCGCCGCGTCGCGGCCGCCGCGCCTGGCTCCGGGCGGAGCGGGGAAGGCGAACGAGCGGCGAGGGAAGCCCGCTCTTCCGCTTCTCGGCCGCCGCCGTGACCCTGCGCTGCGCCCGGCGCCGCCGCCCGGACCCGGCCGCTCGCTGCCACCTCGGACAGGGCGCGGGAGCGGCAGGGAGGACGAGCCCAGCCGCGGAGCGCGGGTCCCTCACGCCGCCGCCGCCGCCATCTTCCTGCCCAGCACTATTTACCCTCCCGCCCCTCCCCTGCCCCTCCCCGCCGGCTCCTCGGCTCCCGGCTCCCGCCCGCTCCCTCCCCGGCGTCTGACGCGCGGCGCCCAGGGCCCGGGTCCCCGCCGGCGACGCCGGGCCGGAAGTGCAGCGCGGGGGCGGGGCGGCGGCGCGCGGCGTTCTGGGCGGGGCGCGCGCGGCCTGCTGGGAGCTGTAGTCGGGGCGCGACGGCGGGTGAGTCGGCGGCGCGGGGACGCGGGGTCGGCGGGTGGGCGAGGCTGCGGTGAGGTGGCCGCGGCGGCGGGGACCCTCCGTGAGGACGCGGAGGGGCCGGCGGGTCGAGCGGGCGGGCTCCGGCGGCCGGGGCCGCGCCGGCCGTGGCGGGAGAGTGGGTTTTGCTTTGAGGCGGTCGGGGAACGGGCGACGCCGCAGGGCTGTGCGTTGAGCCGCCTGTCCCCGGCGCCTGTTCGCCGTTTCCTGAGGGTCGCCGCTAGTCAGCGTCGTTATTAAGATGCGGAGCGCTCGCTGACTGCCGGGCTGGGCAGAGCCTCGGGGTCTGAGGGAGGAAGCGCGCGGCCCGGAACGACTGGTAGTGGCGAGAGGCGCGTGGGGACGCGCGGGACGGGCCGTGGGTCTTGCCCGGGCAGAGGCTGACAGCTGCGATGCGGTGGTGAAGTCGCGGTGGCGCGCGGAGGGCCTGCGAGAGGGGGCGTTTGGATCCCTCGGTCCTCGCGCTAACGCACGGGCCCGAGGCTGTCGTTCAAGAGAGCGAGAAAGGAGGACACCGACTTGGCGGTTGACGCCTCTTGGGTGGGTGGCGGAAAGTGCGCCTTCACCACGTTACGTTTCGCTCTGCCGTAGCCTGGAGATGGCCTGGTATGGCTAGACTTGCTATTTCTGGTTTTCTCAAGCGCTAGGTTTTTAAAATATCACTAAGTAAACGAATCATTGAGAGATTCACTTCATAATGCAGTTTAGACTCACAGGAGCGTACGTTTTAAATTGAACTTTCTGTGGTGTTTTATACCTTTTAAGGTTGTGTGTGGTTAAAACCACCAACAGTTAGATCACTACGTTACCCACTTGGTAGGAAATTGCTTCATCGTATTTAGTATCAGTGTGAAAAAGTGCCTTTTTACAAAAAGGTTCTTAGTACATTTTTCCTTTGTAGTTAAACACTAAAGTGTTTTTAGGTACAGAAAGATTTTTGTGTAATGATTACAATCCCACATTAGAGGTTGGGGTTTACTTAATTACTGTCAATGGAAAGAAATTGTAGTACTGGGATATGTGAGCTTTCTTTGTTCATTTGGAATGATAGCTGTTGAGTTTTCTTTCTCGCTTAGGGACTTCCCTGCCCAACCTCTGATAAATGCCACATATCTTCTCATTTTATTTAGTGTTTACTATTACAAGTTTTTGAGGAACTTCATTTTATTTTTAGAACATTGTGAAGAAATGGCATGTTTACGGTATTAACTATTTATGTTGTCTAGGTACTTTCAATATGTGAACTCATTCCTTAAAGATCATACACAGAGGGTAGGCATTTGGCCTAGCTGTTGGGACTTCCAAATCTCATGTCGGAGGACCTGGGTTTGTGTCCAGGTTCCGCTTCTGATTCCAGCTTCCTGATTATGTGCACCCTGGTGGGGGAGGGGGTCGTGGAATGTGATGACTTAAGTAGTCATGGGTCTCTGCTGTCCACATGGGAGCCTCCCCGGAACCTGGACTTCGCTCCAGCCCAGCCTCAACAATGGTAGGCATTTAAGGATTGAAACAGTGGATATGTATCTGTATCTCTCTCTGCCTGTCAAATCAAGAAAAGTAAATTTCAGTAAGTCATCCATAAGCATTGTAGGTTTCATTTTACAGATAATAAAAAGTAAAACAAAGGGAGGCTTAGTAACTGATCCAGGGTCATGGAGCCACAAAGCGGTGGAATTAGGTTTTGAAACCAGGTCTGATTGCACAGACTGCACGTATCCTTTTCTCTGCTTCAGAATACCTCTCAAAGTGCGAGTTGTGTGAATACTGTATTCTGTAGATAGAGTGTGTCAGGAAAACGTGCTCTTAACTAATATTTTAAACATCTTGAATTTGCCTGACTTATTTACATCTGTGGTGTCTTATTTAACATCAACTCTAGAGAACTTTTTTCTATTAAATTTCTCATATATTTGATGAAGAAACCACAGGAAACTTAAATAATACTCCAAAGGTCACACAGCTAGTAAAGGACTAGAGCCCAAGTAGCCACGTTCTAGATTTAGTTCTCATTCCGCTAGAGTTCCCCATCCTCTGCTCAGGCTTCTTGTTCTTCCACATCATCTCACTCACCAAAGATACACCACCAACCCTTCATTCCTGTCCTCTGTTCCCCTGCCAAGATGTAGCAATCAAAACCCCACAGGTGTTGGAACAGAGAATGTTGACACTTTGATCAACAAGCACAGGAATGAGGGGGATATTGGTTACTGAAGCTGAGTTTGTGGTAGAAGAGGACGTCCTAAGCTGAAACTGAAAACATTGTCTAATTGTTTAAAAGTAGAACTATAAAGATCCTCTGTTAACTCAGACTGCCATAACCAAGTCCCATAGATAAGAAAGTTCTGGCCTATTTGCTTCCTGTAAATGTACCAGTCCTACTGGATTAGGGCCCCACTGTATGGCTTTGTTCAACTTTATTCACCAACTCATAAACCCTTTGTCCAAGTATAGTCACATTGAATGCTGGAGCTTCGTTCAGCTTAAGAACTTTGGTGAACACATTTCAGTCCCTAACAAGTGCTTGTAGTTCCTGTTCACATGGAGTTTGTGTTGAGGATGCATTTTCAGTTAAAGTAGTTCTTTGTTAGCTAACCTGGAACTATAGCTGTTCTTTTTTTTTTTTTGACAGGCAGAGTGGACAGTGAGAGAGAGAGACAGAGAGAAAGGTCTTCCTTTTGCCGTTGGTTCACCCTCCAATGGCCACCGCCGCCAGCGGCCGGCGCACCGCGCTGATCCGATGGCAGGAGCCAGGAGCCAGGTGCTTTTCCTGGTTCTCCCATGGGGTGCAGGGCCCAAGCACCTGGGCCATCCTCCACTGCACTCCCTGGCCACAGCAGAGGGCTGGCCTGGAAGAGGGGCAACCGGGACAGAATCCGGCGCCCCAACCGGGACTAGAACCTGGTGTGCCGGCGCCGCTAGGCGGAGGATTAGCCCAGTGAGCCGCGGCGCGGCCCGGAACTATAACTGTTCTTTATAACATTCTTCCCACTTCAAACTGAACCGTGACCCGTTAAAAATCGAGCGTTCTGGGACAGGAGTTTATTCTAGCAGTTAAGACACCTTTTGGGGCACCTGCATCCCTTATTAATGTGCCTGGGTTTGAGTCCTGGCTTCACTCCTAGTTCACGCTATTTGCTGATGTGCACCCTAAGAGGCAGCAGGTGATGGCTCTATTGGTTGGGTCCATGCCGCCCACATGGGAGACCTAGAACGAGTTTTCTGCTTCTGGCTTTAGCCTGACCCATCCTGGGCTTTTGCCATTATTTAGGGGTTAACCAACAGATGAGATATCTCTTCTCTCTCTCTGCCTTTCAAATAACTAAGCAACCTAGAGATCTTAATCTATTCAACTTATAGCAGCTGCTATGTACCAGTTTATATAGAAAAACACCAAAAATGTATTTGTAGGGGTGTATCACAGAAGTGATATGCAATAAATCAAGGTGTTCCTAACAGCACTTCACATTCTGAGTCTTGTAAATTAACTTCCAACTTAGAGTTAGTGATGACACTCTTTTTCCACACATTTTCCTCTTACCATCAACAGAAATGATGATTGTAGCATTTAGGGATGCCCATCATTGTCTCCAGGTTTTTTCCCCGAATTACTGATCTCTATTCCTCATGTTTGGGTGCATACATAGATAATGACATTTATGTCACTACTGTTGCCTAGTTGCCAAAGTTTATATGACACATCCCAATTTTAGAGATGTTAAAATATGAACTTGAAGTCATCCTATTGTTCCTGAGATTAGCACAATTTATGATTTTTCAGATAATGTGTATGTGGTCAGTGTTTACTGTTGGGCAAGTTACATTTTAAATTATATATTGAGAACACCTATTTCGTAAGCATTATGTTTAAGCACTGCATAGAATTGCTTTTGTTGTGCAATTAGAACTTTGCATTTCTTGCTGTTATGCAATTGCCATATAACGAATATCAGTTTTAACTTTATTTTTTGTGCATTTGTATAACTTTCTTGGGGTTGTTTTCCAAAAATGATCTGCTGAATAGAGAGCATGTACGGTACAGTGTGTTACCATCAGATCATGCTCCGGGAAGGCTGTGAGACTGAGCCTCCCCTCACTCTTACCCATAGCAGTCGGGTGGCATCCAAGCAAGCTATCGGAAGGAGACTGTGCCAGGAAACCATTGTTTCAGAATGAACCACACTGAGAATAACCAGTTTATTATGGTTAGCCACTTGGGTATTGACTGTTATTTTTTCACATCAAGGCGTTTTTTGACTAAAGGGGCAGAAATACATTCACAGTATTTCAAATGAGAATGTTTATTGTGGTGATCTCAGGATGCTCACCTGGACCACGTACATACTGGACTTGGGGTTTTCTGTCCATCTCTAGGACCTCATGGCATCTTTCATCTCTGAGTTACTGTGTTCTCAGTCTTTGTCTCTTTGAGCTCTCGCCGTGTATGTTTGCCCTCTGTGTCTGTGCCCTCTCAGGGTCTCTGGCTTGCAAGTCATAGCAACAGGCAGTTGGTCAAAGAGTGCTCTAATCAGCTTTTCCCAAGGGTGTGGGGTGTACAGCTACCCCTTTTGTGGTTTGTTTGGAGTGGGAACCTTATTAGAAATAATAGGCCATGTATCTAATGCATATTATTTTCATTGTAGTATTTTCCTAACTGTAGGTGGGGAAGAGGAGTGGAGTTCTTAGGGAAAAATAATTTAGCATATATAAAAATCTTTTGTCTTGGGGCCGGCGCTGTGGCTCACTTGGTTAATCCTCCACCTGTGGTGCTGGCATCCCTTATGGGCTCCGGGTTCTAGTCCCAGTTGCTCCTTTTCCAGTCCAGCTCTCTGCTGTGGCCCGGGAAGGCAGTGAAGGATGGCCCAAGTGCTTGGGCTCTTGCACCCGCATGGGAGACCAGGAGGAAGCACCTGGCTCCTGGCTTGGGATCGGGCCAGCACGCTGGCCGTAGTGGCCATATTGGGGGTGAACCACCGGAAGGAAGACCTTTCTCTCTGTCTCTCTCTCTCATTGTCTAACTCTGCCTGTCAAATAAAAAAAAAAAAAAAAAAAAAAAAAAAAAAAACTTTTGTCTAGCACCACACACATAATTCATCTTTTCAAGAATATACTAGCATGTGATGTTTAAATGGATGTGTTAGACTGCATGTGTTTATTTTCACTCACTAGAGTGTAAGCTCCATGGAGCAAGAACTTTGAACTTGTTTTCATCTGATTTTTTCATGTAACTTTTTTTTTTAAGGTTTATTTCTTTATTTGAAAGAGTGACAGTAGGGAGAGACAGATCTTCCACTGGTTCACTGCCCAAATGCCCACCATAGCCGAGCCAGGGCCAGGATCCAAGAACTTTATCTGGGTCTCCTATGTGGCTGGCAAGGACCTGCACTTGGATCCACATCTACTGCCTTTCCAGACACATTAGCAGGAAGCAGGATTGGAAATGGAGGCGCTGGGACTTGAATTGGCACTCTTACGTGGGATGTAGGCATCCCAAGTGGTGGCTTCACTGGCTGCAACACAGTACCTGCCCCTTCCATAACTGTCTATCTTTAATCTCTAGAGTAGTGTTCAGCACACAGAAGGCATTCAGTATAAGTAATGAACAGACTTTATCTCTGAGGTGATAATAAAATTCAAGATACAAGGTAGTGTGCTGATTATTGTAGGGGTTTCAAGATAGTAAAACAAAAAAAGGAGCATTTTGAGATGGGGGCTTCTGCTCTCAAGGAGCTGATCAGAGAAAACTGTCTTAAGAAGGTTATACATGCAACTATAATTGAACTAGTGTTTTGCATACTGAAAGATGGTGCCCTTTTCTGTGCCACCTGGAATGGTAGACCTTGATCTCTGGTTCTGTTGTGTAACCCTCCTACTGTCTCTCTAGGATACTTGACCCAGCTTCTTTTAGTTTAAACAATAGCTGTTTAAAATTTTAAAGAGAAAAGAGTTCTTGTTTCTGGATCTTGTTCCACCAAGTTAGCATGTAAACTTTTTAATGAATCTTGTTGCTTTAAAGGTATTATGCTATAAATTTATAAATTGCTCTCTATGCCTTGCTGCTGTGCATGGGATATGCAACATGGCTCCTGAATCAAGTTCAGAAATTTAAAGGATTTATGAAACTTCCTCTGCAAGTCTCTCCCCTTCCCATTTTATTCTTGGGATCCTTATATGTGTCATTTTGAATGAGTTGGTTTTCTTATTTTGACTACTTATAGATCATATTAGCCTTTCCTGGTTTTCCTATCAGGTCCATTAAAGAATCCTACATGTTGCTGCTACTGTTTCTGGGTGTGAATTGTAGCTGGCTTCATCCCTAATAACCATGTGACTTAGGGAGTGTCTTTAAATAGTCTTTAAATAGTGGCTTTAAATAGTCTTTAAATAGTGGCTTAGTAAGTGGAGTAACAGTATAACCATTCACCATAACTTTATGTATCCCAGTTGTACTGTTATGTGCATTTGTACATGGATTTTTTAAAAAGATTTATTTTTTTATTTGAAAAGTAAAGTTAGATTTTCCATGCACTGGGTCACTCCCCAAATGGCTGCAACAGCCAGGGCTGGGCCAGACGAAAGTGAGGATCCATGAGCTTCATGTGGGTCTCCCACTCACTGGGAGAGCAGGGAACTGGATCAGAAATGGAGCAGCCAGGACTTAGTGCCCACATGGGAATGCCATGCTAAAGGCAGAAGCTTACCTGGCTGTGCCACAGCAACGCTGCCTCCTTCCCCTCGGTGGATATTTGCATAAGCATATCTGGGAAGATTTTCTTTTATGTGAAATTTGCTAAATGCATCTTCCTCCTTTTTATTTTTTTAATTTAAAAAATGATTTACTTAGACAACAGACAGAACTCCTGTTCTGTGGTTCACTCCCCAAATGCCCACGGCAACTGGACCTGGATCTGACTAAAGCTGATAGCTGGGATCCAGGTTACTCAATCTAGAGCTCCCGTGTGGGTGGCAGGAACCCAGCTACTTGAGCCATCACCACTGCTTCCCAGGGTCTGCATTTGCAGGAGCTGGAGCAGGGTATCTAACCCAAGTATCCTGTGGGGTGCAGGTGTTTTAACCATTAGGAAATGCCCACCCCACCTCCATTTCTGACCGTGGGTACTATTACAGAAGTGTAAAGGACCACAAGAAACTTGTATGCATCATCTTTAGTGATAGTATATGGAATAATTGAAAGATATTTTGGCCGGCGTCACAGCTCACTAGGCTAATCCTCTGCCTTGCAGCGCCGGCACACCGGGTTCTAGTCCCGGTTGGGGTGCCGGATTCTGTCCCGGTTGCCCCTCTTCCAGGCCAGCTCTCTGCTGTGGCCAGGGAGTGCAGTGGAGGATGGCCCAAGTGCTTGGGCCCTGCACCCGCATGGGAGACCAGGAGAAGCACCTGGCTCCTGCCATCGGATCAGCGCGGTGCTCCGGCCGCAGCGCGGCGGCCATTGGAGGGTGAACCAACGGCAAAGGAAGACCTTTCTCTCTGTCTTTCTCTCTCACTGTCCACTCTCCCTGTCAAAAAATTAAAAAAAAAAAAAGATATTTTTGTGACTTCAGAGTAGTGGGTATAAAAACACTTATAAAGTGAATATAGGCATCTTGAAGTCATTACTCATCTTTGTATCTTAATCTTTTATGTTGATGGAAGCAAACAAACAAAGATTGTGAAGGTTTTCTCTGTATTTACTCTAAGTATAGTGGTATTACTGTCTACTTTTTAAAAATGTAAAAGTTTACTTTATTGGACACCTAGAATGGCATTCAGGTGTGCTTTGATTGTTAAGGCGTGCCTTACTTGGGTAAATTATTATATTCTGGAATGAATTAAAATGGCTAGCCCTTTCCCGTGAAACCAGAGAAGGAAATGCAAAGCAGTTCAGGTTTGGTTGTCACATAAAATTAAGGAGTGTCACTGCATTAATCCTTTGTAAAGCACTAGGATATGTAAGGGCCAAATTTAGCTTTTGAATTCCTTCTTTGAGTAGCAGGATTTGGAAGCACTGATATTTCATGTTTTCTTCTTTCTGAGAAGCCTCTCAGAGGACCAAAATGATATTCGTCTTTTAACAGAATAAAATTCACCTTGCAATTTACTATAAAGATCTATTTACCCCTATATAAACTGAAGACAAATAATGACACCTAGAGGGGTTTATTTTACCTGTATCTAAAGCGTTTTCTTATTTCATCATCCTAGGAATTATTTAAACATTATTTGTCAATTATTTTTAACAGCTTTAATGAAAATATATTTTAAAATGGACTGAAATCATCTAGAATGATGATCCACTAGCAACATCAATCTTATGATATTATCTTTCAGTTTTCATAGTGTTTCCCAGATACGTGAAGGCACAAAACCACTGAGACACAATTCTTGTAGTTTTATTTTTGTAGCTTTCACTGAACACAGTTGAGAGTTCTGAATTTTCACTTTCTGTCCAATATGGAAAAGAACAAAACAGAAGAGTTTCACAATTAGCAGACAAGTCAGAAGCTGAATGTAGAGACAAACAGCATTCTACAGTATGATGGCAAAACTGATCCTGTAGTTACAATTTCAGACTGATAATGTCAGATGCTTCAAATGCATGCTATTTTTTTTCTTTTAAAAATATAAATTTATTTATTTGAAAAGCAGAGCCTCCACCCCCACCCCCAAGATAAATTTCGATCTATCCACTGGTTCACATCGCAGATGGCCACATTAGCCAGAGCTGAGTTAGGCTGAAGCCAGGAGCCTGGAACTCCATCTGGGTCTCCCAACAGGGGTGCAGGGCCCAAGCACTTTAGACACCCTCCAGTGCTTTCCCAGGTGCATTGGCAGGGAGTTGGATCAGAAGTGGAGCACTAAGCACTTGAACCGGTGCCTGTATAAGGATGCCAGCATCACAGGCGGTGGCTTCTTACTGCATCACAGTGCTGACCCCACTTGCTATTTTCTTTTTTATTTATTTTATTTATTTTTTATTTTTATTTTTTGACAGGCAGAGTGGACAGTGAGAGAGAGAGACAGAGAGAAAGGTCTTCCTTTGCCATTGGTTCACCCTCCAATGGCCCCCGTGGCCGGCGCGCTGATCCTGAGAGTGATCAGAGAGAGTGCATTACACCACACTTTCCAGCGGAACTTGGAATATCACATTTTGCTGAAAGGACTTAGGACAGCATTCTCCCCTCCTTTATGATGCATGTGCACTGCAAGTTACTTGATACGGTTTGTAAATGAGCAAATACTTAAGGCAGATGTACACACAAAGGGGAGTGGAAAGATGATAGATAAAAAATTTGTTGGACTTTATAAATATAGAAATAAAATGCTTACAATTATGGAGGATCTAACATGATTGTCTTTTCTTTAACAACTTCATAAGATGTCAAAGTTGTCAACTTTGATGAAACAAAAGTAACAAGAAGCTACAATCTCTCAACAGTGCACATGGAATCTGGAATCTTTAGAAGATAAGAGCTTGAGCACAGAAGTCCATCGGCAGCCAGTTATGTTCAAAGGACACTGCTTATTTCAGGAAAATATGGGATAAAAACGTGGGTTTCCTGTGTTTCGATGTTTATTACAATTTCTAAAAAAGTCTTTAAATAACACTTCATAAAGTAGCTCAAAATTATGGTAAATGGTCATGGTAATTTTTCCAGAAGTACTAAGGGTTAAATCGGTTATTATTCTGTTCAACACAAGACAAAAAGATAATAACGATAGGCTCCACAGGTCTTTAAATTATTTATGGGTAATTCAAACAGACTTACTAGTATAGGCTAACAAGAAAAAACTGGTTACATAATGTGCTACTGCAGTTAAAGAAGCACATGAATAAATTTTTTAATAAAACTGTAAAATTAAAGAAACACTATCCAACATACCTAAAATATCATCTGGCTTTGGCAAATTCTCAAATGCCTTTAAATCATTTAGGATAACAGTTGTAATCTAGAATCAATTCTATGTGTAATACAGTATATACAGCAGTCTTCTGAAGCCCAAAGTCTGGAGTGGACTGTTCACTACCTATGACTTGGGGGCAACTTTATAACTTCTTTGAGCTTTGATTTCCTTATATGTAAAACAAGATAATATCCATCTTGCAAGATTTTTGTGATGGAAAAATAAATGCAGTGAACCTAAAATAATGTCTGATATTAAGGCCCCTAACAAGTACCTACTCTTCACAGAAACCCACAGTGGAATCTGGTTCTTCAGTCTCTCATTAATTGTGCTGGTGATTTTTTTCTGGACCTTGTGAATTGTGGCTCCTACAGCTTCTTTTCAATCATCAACCAACTAAACTAATTTTATTCACTAATACCACTGAACGTCTACTATGAGACAAGCAATTTTATATTTTTACCTGTTCTTCAATAATAATATAACTGTTAAATACATATCAGTGTCTTTGTTACTGCCTTCCTGGGCCACAGCAGAGAGCTGGACTGGAAGAGGAGCAACCTGTACAGAATCCGGCACCCCAACTGGGACTAGAACCCGGAGTGCCGGCACCTCAGGTGGAAGATTAGCCTAGTGAGCCGAGGCACTAGCCTAGAATACTGATTAAGAGGGGCAGGCGTTTAGTCATATGGGGGTAAGCCACTGTCTGCAACGCCAAAATCCAATACGGGCACCAGTTCATGTCTGGGCTGTTCCAGTTCCCATCCAGCTTCCTGCAGATGGCCTGGCTCCTGACTTCTACCTTGCCCAACCCTGGCCATTGCAGCCATCTTGGGGGGTAGGGGAGGATGAGCCAGCAGATGGAGGATCTCTCTCTTTCCTGTTTCGCCTTCTCTTTCTAACTGACTTTCAAATGAATAAATAAATAAATCTTTTTTTTTTTTTAAAAAAAGAGTAAGAATGGAGACTCAGGATGGAATGTGTATTTGAATTTTGGAACAGATACATTTTGTAAACATAAATGAATAATGTGAATTCTCTAAGCCTCCATTTCTTATGTATTTTGTTAATAGTTACTCTATTGAGGTATCTAAATTATGAGTACTCCTGAGGAGTAATGCTTGCATATTACAAATTGTTGGTAAATATCGTCATTTGTTTACACATTTTTAACTTACTGTAGCAAATATAGCCAATCTTTATGGGGCTTCATCGTTTCTGTTTTCATCAAAGTCATTTTCCCCCACTTTGGTGGGCTCCTCTTATCCTGAAGAGGATGAAGTCACTGGCGGCATCGAAAGAGGGAACTAGTTCTAACTACTGCTCTGACTTCTACAGAGACGTTCTTAGGAAGGAAATGAGGAAAAGATAAATTCCCTCTCTTAAGAATACCAAGCAAGCAAACCTCAGCACCCTACTAAGTAAGATTTTTGCCATGAAAAACTTTATTCAGACATCATTTTGTCCCACATAATGCCTTCTTGCATGTCCTCATTTATTTTATTTTTTTTCTTTTTCAAGGTATTTTGAAAACTGGTGATTTGCCTACTGGAGGCAAACTTCTAATTTAATGTGACTATTTTAAAACCTTAGGTTCTTTCATTTGAAATGAAAGAGGCATATCTGAAGTAGGTGGTCAGAGCTTCGCTAGTCTGAGTTGAGTTTAATCTCAGTGAATGCAACTGTAAGATATTCTGGACTTTGTTTCTGCACTTGATTTATTATTAATGAAAGACATTGTCTGTTTCATTTGGCTTTTGAAATAGAATTCCTGACATGAAAAAGCCTGCAGAGACCGTCTTCTGTCCCCTTGCTGTGAAAAGCACGTAGTGGAACACGCTGTCCTCTGGTCCAGCTGTTGGAGGCTCGGGGTGGTTTCACGCTCAATCGGCTGTTTGGATTTTATTGTTGTCATACCTGCTTTTCTTCTCTTAACTTTGAAGTTTTCCTGTCTCAAGTTGTTTGCATCGTTTTGATAAGCTATCTCAAAATCTTTTTGGAAAGAAGTAGACAGATAGTCAAGGTGGGTAGGTAAGACAGCACGTAGACCAATTATTAAAGCAATCCATGCTTATAAATAAAGAATTCCCATGTGTATCCCTTTTTTTATCCCAGATTGTTTTGCTGGGCAAAAGCTGATAATATTTCTCTTATGCATTGTTTTAAAGTGTCTGTGGTGTTAAGACAAGTCCTTAAGAATTTATGGGCATAGATTCTTAATCACAGCATTTCTTAAAATAGGGAAAAATTGGAAACAGCCTAACTGCCGTCATGAGGGAGCTGTTAAGTAAAACGTGGCCCAGCCATAGAGGCAGCGCAAAGAAGCCAGTGACATTGGTATTGCAGTGTTGGAACCATCAGACAGAAATATTTGAAGACCATAGTAGAGGCTGAGCAGACCCCAACAAGGTAAACTCACACACCCAGGCACGTCACAATAGCAAAGGAAATGGCCCACTATTTAGTCTTCATGTAGAATATGAAGGCATACATAGGGTTAAATCAGTTATGTCCAATATTTATTTTTTTTTTTTTTTTTTGACAGGCAGAGTGGACAGTGAGAGAGAGAGAGACAGAGAGAAAGTTCTTCCTTTGCCGTTGGTTCACCCTCCAATGGCCGCCGCGGCCGGCGCGCTGCGGCCGGCGCACCGCGCTGATCCGATGGCAGGAGCCAGGAGCCAGGTGCTTTTCCTGGTCTCCCATGGGGTGCAGGGCCCAAGCACCTGGGCCATCCTCCACTGCACTCCCTGGCCACAGCAGAGAGCTGGCCTGGAAGAGGGGCGACCGGGACAGAATCCGGCGCCCCAACCGGGACTAGAACCCGGTGTGCCGGCGCCGCTAGGCGGAGGATTAGCCTAGTGAGCCGCGGCGCCGGCTATGAGAGTATTTTTTAAAGTTCATGGAAAAGTAGAATTAAAAGGTAAACTTACTCTGGTACAAGAAATTTGAAATCCTTGCAAAGTTCATAACATGCATTTTCCATGAACTTTTGAAGACCCTTCTATATATAGATGTCAAAATGTTCAACATCAATGTCTTTTAAAATAAATTTACACTATAAATCTGCTTTCTATTTCAGAAATGTGACTTTATCTATTATCATTCCCATCAGTTTCCTGTTTACTCCTTCCATTAGTAGTCTACCAAACAACCACTGTAATGTGTCACTAATTTTAGGTGTTACTTTCTTCGTAGTTATAGGATAGTAGTAGATATGAGGGTTTTGAAGCTAAGTCTGAAATACAGGCCCAGACCTATCAACTGCGGACCGCATGACTAGGTATACGAGGGCTATGAGGCTAAGCCTGAAACAGTCCCAGACCTATCGACCGCTGATCACATGAGGGCTTTGAAGCTAATCCTGAAACACAGTTCCAGATCTATCGACTGCTGATCATGTGACCAGGTACATGCAAAATTAGTAGCTTAGCACCCTCATCTCACCCATACCACATTTCTCTCAGCATATAGTCACTGTTTTTGCCAAAAAGTAATTGAGGTGTTCCCATTAATTTCCTGCTTTTCTGTATGTTGATTTGCCCATCAGGTACTCATCCAGTATAGATTTTTAATTAAGACCACCAGTGGTCTAGCAATTTTTGTCTTTTAGAATTTATATTTTAATTGTACTAAGTATTCCAAGAAAGAGTGCTTTAATTTTTTCCTTGCACAGAATTCTACTAAGAAAAGTGATTTGGCATAAGTTATTCCATTGATCAGTTTATTTGTATATTTAAATTTTTGTCTTTATTCAAATGAAAACACTTCTTAGTATGTATGTGTACAGCCGTGCCCTAAGCTCTAGTCTTATCAAAGAAGATCCCGTTTTCAGTTCCCTGAGATGACCTCTGCGTATACAGCTGGCATCGTGAGAGTGAGGAATCCAAGTGGCAGGAAGAGTACCTAGGATGGAGTTGACATTCTCCTATGATATGAACCCTATGATATGATTTGGTTTTACACCTTATCACTTCTGCTTCTGCTCTATCCTATTAGAAGCAAGTCTCTTCCGGGCCGGCCCTGTGGCGTAGTAGGTTAAACCTCCACCTGTAGCATTGGCATCCCATATGGGTGCCAGTTAAGTCCAGGCTGCTCCTTTTCCGGTCCAGCTCTCTGCTAATGGCCTAGGAAAGCAGTGGAAGGTGACCCAAGTGTTGTGGCACTGCACCCACATGGGAGACTCAAAAGAAGCTCCTGGCTCCTGGCTTCAGATGGCCAGCTCTGGCCATTGCAGCCACTTAGGGAGTGAATCAGCAGAAGGAAGACATCACTGTTTTTCCCTATCTCTGTAACTCTGCCTCTCAAATAAATAAATCTTTAAAAAAAAAAAAAAAAAAGTGAGTCACTTCATTGCATTTGATGGTATCCGTTTGTTGTACCTTTTTTTTTTTTTTTTTTTTTTGTAATTTATTTGACAGAGAGAGTCAGACAATGAGAGAGGCAGAGAGAAAGGTCTTCCTTCCATTGGTTCACCCCCCCAAATGGCCGCTATGGCTGGCACTGTGCTGATCCGAAGCCAGGAGCCAGGTGCTTCCTCCTGGTCTCCCACGTGGGTGCAGGTGCCCAAGCACTTGGGCCATCCTCCACTGCCTTCCCAGGCCACAGCAGAGAGCTGGACTGGAAGAGGAGCAATCGGGACAAGAACCTGGAGCCCATATGGGATGCCGGTGCTGAAGGTGGAGGATTAACCAAGTGAGCCATGGCGCTGGCCTCATGTTGTACCTTTTTCTCAGTAACCCATCCGTAAGGTATTGCAGGTAATTATTTTTCCTAGTACTAGGAAATACATATATTTTGTTTGTTGATCCAATTTTGTTCCTTTTTTTCCCCACAGACATTTGTTTATTCATTTGAAAAGCAGCATTACACAGAGAGGAAGACGGAGAGAGAGAGCGATCTTCCATCTGCTAGTTTACTCCCCAAATTGCCCCAACATCCAGGGCTGGGCCAGGCCAGGCCAAAGCCAGAAGCCAGGAGCTCCATCCTGGTCTCCTACATGGGTGGCAGGGGCCCAAGTGCTTGGGCCACCTTCTGCTGCCTTCCCAGGCTGTTAGCAGGGAAGTAGATCAAAAGTGGAATAGCCAGGACTTCAGCTGCACCCACATGGGCTGCCGGCATAAATAAACAGATTGATTTATTTATTTGAATGACAGAATTACAGAGAGGTGGAGGTAGAGGCAGAAAGAAAGTCTTCTTTCATTCCTCAGATGGCCGTAATGGCTGGAGCTGTGTCAGTCTGAAGCCAGGAGCCAGGATCTTTTCTAAGTCTCCCATGCTGGTACAGGGCCCAGGCACTTGGGCCATTTCTCTACTGCTTTCCCAGGCCACAGCAGAGAGCTGGATCAGAAGTGGAGCAGCCGGCACCCATCTGGGATTCTGGCACTGCAGGCGGTGGTGACTTTATCCACGACACCACAGTGCCCCCCCCCCCATTTATTCTTTTACAGCAATAGAATATACATGAAAAAATTACAGAAGAGCTGCATAGTAGCATTAGTAGAACAAAGATTTAAGAAGTTTGAGGTTTTTAATCTGAGATTGCACCTGAAAACAGTTATGTTGATAAACTCTCTTGAACCCTACTGTCGACTAGTAGAGCTGCGTGAAAACCAGGAAATCCGTAGCTTTGCATCAAGAAACAGCGTCACGGCCGGGGTTCAGAAACTTCAGGGGTTCTTAAATGGATCATTTTTCTGTGATGTTAATAATAACTTTTACAGGTCTTTCTGATTCTGCTAGATGTTTTCCTTCCAATAAGGTAGGACATAGTATAGTAAAATAGCCTAGTCTGCTGACAACAGTCTAGTGACCACAGAACTGCTCTGCCTGCCTCTGTTTCATGAGTCCACATCCCTGGAATCAGCTATAAGATAAAAACTTAATTGTTCACAACTATTAAATGCCTTGAATGTGTTTATTGAGTTAAAACAAAGTTAGCATTGTTAAATACCTGGAGAACTTTTATAAAGTATGCAGCTCATCGTCACACAGGAATTTATAATCTGGGCTTTGAGGCATTTTTACCTTTGGATTGGCTCTTAGTTAATGTGCTAATAGCAAAATATGTTTCCTTCTGTGCTAAACGATGTAACATATTCTACAGTAGTGAATTTTATGTTTATAGCATTAGCTGAAGTTAAGTGTTTTGACTTATTCTGTCCCTGTCTCTTTATTAGAACCAGAAAGATGAACAGAAAAACAAGGAGAGAGGGGCTGGCAGTGAGAACACAAGCAGGTGCTCCGGGGTCGGCTGCTGTCTGCCTTCTTTTAGTGACACATTCTTGGTGTAGGACCTGTGGGTTCCATTATTTCCCAGAGATGCGCTACCATTTTTTAATTTTATAGTTCAGTTCAAAATGTTTGAACTATTCTACAGTGCATTTTGCCGATGTTAAAACTAAAGCTAAAAATACAAAGTCAGATCTGTGCTTGGACTGCACCGTATAAAAACTATGGACATGCTATTTCAATTTGTTCCTTTCTGTGTGCATAAAATAATTGCAAAAGTACATGGAAAAGTAATACATGATACCTAATAATCTATAAGTGTTGTTGCAGTCTTTTCTGTTCTTATAATTTAAAAATATTTTGTAATAAATGAAACTGAAAAAGGAAAATTTTAAGTCATTTGTGTAATATCTATTTAGCTGAAAATTACTTTTTAATTTAAAGTAGTCTTAATTTCAGTGTGTGTAAATTTGTTGTAAAAAGAATGTTTGCTCACAGACTGAAGTTTTGTACTGAGATTTAATCTGTTCAGAGAGCATTAACCACTTGAAGGTTTTGGAGATTTTTAAATAGTATTCATTCTTGAGGTTTCTTAGGGTTTTGAGGAGGTTGCTGGCTTGGCTGTTCTGTGGGTCAGACACAGGAATTGGAGAAATGACTGCATTAGCATCTCCCTCACTTTCCCATGACCTGCCCATGGTTCTCTCTTACTACCTATAGCATATTTTGCATATTTTCTGGTTTTTTTTTTGTTTGTTTGTTTGTTTTTTTGTTTGTTTTGTTTTTTTTTTTTTTTTTTTTTTTGAAAGGCAGAGTGGACAGTGAAAGAGAGAGACAGAAAGGTCTTCCTTTGCCGTTGGTTCACGCTCCAATGGCCGCCATGGCCGGCGCACAGCGGCTGGCACATCGCGCTGATCCGAAGGCAGGAGCCAAGTGCTTCTCCTGGTCTCCCATGCAGGTGCAGGGCCCAAGGACTTGGGCCATCCTCCACTGCACTCCCGGGCCACAGCAGAGAGCTAGCCTGGAAGAGGGGCAACCGGGACAGAATCCAGCGCCCGGACCGGAACTAGAACCCGGTTATTTCTTGATGAGTCTTGTCAACATGCTAAGTGCCTATGCCATTGTTTACAGTTGGTGTGTCTTTTATTGGAGGAACCTTGCACTAAAATGTCATCCTTAAA